CCCTAAAGATGCTGCTGGGCCACAGGGCCTCTGCTCTGCTGCAAAGGCTCATTTGTAATCCAGGCACCAGCTCAACCCCATCCCTGAGACCCTCAGCAGACACAGGAATTGATTTATTTTGGGGAGCAGTTGCTCAAACTGCAACTTCTGCATTTCTCTCTGTCATCTGACAACCAAACGAGAGGCAGACGTTCACACAGACTGCAAAACCACCTCTCTGCCAATCCTGATCTACTCGGCCAGTCAAAACTGTTCTTTACAGTAACATGCTTGCTTATCTGCAGCTGCATTTCAAAGTCAGTGTATCAATAAAATGCCTAAATGAAAACTAACATTTCTCCTATATGTTAGCTTGTCTCCATCATAATATTGAAGGCAGGACTCTGCAGTGCACATAAAAAGTCAGTGGCAATCATGATTAATAAGCAAAATCACGCCAATTCCATCATAGTTATACATCTCTTTGCTGCAGAGTTGCAATGATGCTTGGGGATGCTCTGCTTTTCCAGGGGAAAGGTCCAAGGAAGTCCTGGCTCTGACATAGTGGGACCAGCAAAACTGGCAGCAGTTTTGCCCTTTAAAATAGACCATGCCACAGCACCCAGAAAATGCTGGGCTAACCACTACCATTGGGGTGCTTCTTTGTTTTAAGACTGACTTGTGATTTTTCAAATTTCAATATTTTGGATCCAAAGCATTCAGCTCACCTCATTCATTAGCTGAAATTCAGAAGTCTGCTAACAGTCTGTCTCTCTAGCCTAGGTAATTTTAGAGTAGCTAGGATGAAGCATTGGAGAATACCACAGGGAACAATCTTGCACTGTGCAGGACTCAGAAAACCCAAAAGCTCTCTTCTTTCTCCACTTTGTACTGTACTAATGCTTAAATGACAAGCACAAAAATCCTTCCCTCAAAGCAGTATCAATGCCTGGTGCAAATGCCTAACCACCCAGATTAACTCCTTGCACTACAGGAGATAAAGCCAATTAGCTGACATTCTGCAACTGTCACTGCTTTTACATTGCTTCATACAAAGTTTGACTTTGAGCTCATGGGAGAACAAGAAAGGAGAAATAACCCTGGGGAAATTAATTACAAACCCATATATTCCAAGTTGTATCACCTTCTGCCCTGTGGAAATGGAAATTGGGATCCATGTTTTCTTCCGCAGCCTAAAAACAGAACCACATCTGAGGATCACAGGGACAAGGTGATAAAATTCTATGCATCTGTACTGCAGAGCAGCAGCACTCCTGGCTTTGAAGAACAACTTTGTTTTTGCTGTCCTGGAAGAGCAACCGTAAGTTCTTAGTAACATAACTTCAGTTTCTGCACTGCCAAGGAAACTCACTTCAGAAAAAAATTAAGTTGCTCACAACAAAAGAACAGACAGCTTAAGTCACATCATAGGTACACCCACCCTGGTACTGGCATCCCACCATGGCCACCAACACCCAGGCTACAACTGAGCCAATACAGCCTCTCACGCCCCTATCCTCCAGCAAACTGCAACTTCTGTCTGTTCTAAGCAAGAGACCCCATCCCTTTCTTTCAGTGGTGTCTGCTAGATAATTCCTTCCCCAGCTAGGTCTGAATAGAGCACTCACTGCAGCCTGCAGCATTTCCCACCTCATGAAACCTCTCCCCTTCCCTGGTCTGGAAAGTGGAGGAAAGCAGAACCACAACTACAGACAACAGCCCAGCAGTGAGACCTGGGCTGTTGGGTAAATTTTTACTAATTTAAAACCTGTCATGATGAGTGTTTCTGCCAGATCCTGCACTTATTGTCCCTCTGTCTGTGGCTGCAATGATGTGTTTGTCAGTCCACCTCTATGTTGCCAGAACCATGTGCTACCTGGTCTGAAAGAGCTACAGGATGGTATTAAGGAATGAGAGGAACCACAGCAAAAAAAAAGGTACCACCTCGGATAACTAGAGGGCCAGAGCCTCCGACTTCAGCAACATAAGGACTAAAAATAATAATATGCCTTTGTGCTCCTCTCTCTTTTTTCCTGTGTCACCCAAAAGACCCCAGTATAGTCTGGGCAGCTTCAGAGGCAGCAGGACCTCAGTGGCATGGGCTGACGACAGCACCCTGCTCCGTGGCGATTCCCACAGGGCAGGGGAGTGCTCAGGTCACCTGGCACAAGACTTTCAGGGTCTCAGAGGCTTTTCCAGAGAATTTACCATGTCCACAGAACACTACCGCAGCACGGCAGTGACACTGTAACAGCCACAGGACAGAAGGCTTCTTCTCAGCTCCAGACATCTGTCGTACTCTTCCCCTGCCCCGTGCTCCTGCCCTCCACTTTTACTGACCTTCCCCCAGGGTAAGCCAGGCTCCCACAGCTCCTCAGGGAAGCACATTGCTGACCCTCCCCAGTCAGAGGGTGGGATCATTCTCCCTGCTCCTGTCAGTCCTTCAAAAGAAGGCAAGACCAGGAAAAGTGCAGGGTGTTTGAATCTCACAGCTGTTCTCAGGAAGCTCTAAGACCTCTAAATACTACAGGCATCAGGGCTGTACTAAGGAACTTCCTTTAATTTCTCTCTCATTCATGCGTTAATTCAAATGGAAATCCTGCCACATATTTTTCATCCTCTCAAAAGGAACATGTGAGGGAGTTTATCTGTGCAAACCTTTATTATCACCTTATTGCTCATGATCTGAAATAATGTAAGGGGGTACTCAGCATCAAAAAGGATCACCAATAAGGACAAGATGCAATACTGTACAAATACTGTGCAACAATTGCCAGCAAACCCTAATGTATAAATAACATGGTCACATTTAAATGAACAAGAGTTTAATTTAAAATCATACAAGTAGCTATCATTTCAGCTATCTAAACTGCTTAGGGTTGCCAGCAGTACATCCACCTGACTCAATAGTTCCAAATGGGTTTTTGCGAAGGTGGAATTGCACCATGGAAAAGCCCCATGAAGCAGAAGAGAGGGTGAAGAGGGTGAAGAGGGTGAAGAGCATGAAGAGCCGACATCTGGCTAAGGTCTGGCAAAGCTGTGTGGCTCAAGCATGGCTGATGATCCTACAGCCAGTGCAGCACAGCCAAGCCCTGATCCAGCATATTCCAGCTTAGCACCTTACTGAGAACTCCTGCGCCACAGTTTTGGTGTAGTTGGCTTGGAAAAAATGGTTTTTGTGGTTCTGGCTGGAGACATGGCTGAAAGGAACCAGGTCTATAGATATCCAAGGGATTAACTGAGGGTGGATTTCTAACTTGAACACCAAATAGTTTTTGGCAGATTGGCTTTTCTAGATGTTTTGCCACAGACCTACACAGAGCAAGATTAACCTACACAGAATCAGAAAGGCTGAGTGTAACACAGGACATGCCACTTCCAAAACGCCTTTTAGTGTGGGCAAACCCAGCCCCACAAGACTTTGACACATCACATAAAAACAGCCAAATATACATTATTTTAAAAAAGAGAAAAGTCAGTAATTAGCAACACTATCAGGCTAGAGCAACAGAGTCTACCCTTGTGTTTGAATTAATTCTCTAAGCACATTTCCCAGAACTTGTTTTGCATTTTCAAATTAACTGCTATATTAAACTCAAATTAAACAGTCAAGCACATTCAGAGGATACAATTTAAAGCATTGCTATGCTAGTAGCCTAAATACATTTGCCAATTTCTATAGGCACAACAAAATCAGGTCATTAATGAAGTCTGTTAGAACTTCACGAGCCAAACAAATCGCAAGGATATGAGAGAACAGGCTGCACATGAGAAGGAGGTCCCTGGATTTCAGAGCACTCAGCTCTGCTTGCATTGAAGCCAGGGAAAAGCCCATCTACTGTGTGATCTGAAGAAAAGAGGAAGAAACCCCAGCAAGAAGCAGGTCACCACAACTGCACCAAGCTCCAGCATCCTTCCATCTCACCTTGGTCCTGGACTCCAGAGGTGGCTGTGGCTGGGAATACGCATCTCCTGCTGCCCGGGCCAGCAGGTCCAGACCACGGTTCTGCTCGCCCCAGGCCCAGACACCCACCAACACCACAGCCCTGTGCAGAGGACATCTCCCACCAGTTCAGACCGTCTGTCACCTCGCATTATCTCCAAATTATCGAACCCACTTAAGCCAAAGAGGTTTTGAAAGGATGTTATGGTCTATGCAATCGAATTGAGTAACAAAACTCCAGGGAAGAGAAAGATAAGAAGGAAAAAGCTTTGATTGGTTTCTCATTCCACCCCTCAATGCATTACCATATTCCATTAAAACACTGATACTTTAATTTCCTTCCCAGCCTGGTGATATGTGCCCAGGAGCGATGTCTCTGAGAGCCAGCACTTTCCATCCTTGCCAGACACTCCCCTCTGCCCCCACGCACTCGTCCCCTGTGCCCGTGGCCATCCCAGCGACTGAACCCCAAACTTCTATCACTGAACCGCAGCGCCTCCTCTTTGGGAGCAATCACACCCCGCCACCCAGGGCCCCAGCAGCCCCGGGTGAGCCGCTCGGACGGCTCCGGAGTGCGGCTGCTGTGCGCAGCCCTGGCGGTGCTCGGCCCTCCGCCCGACCCGCACTCCAGCACTGGCCCCGCTCGGCGCCCCGAGTGCAGCCCTGGAAGAGCTGTCCCACGCTCGCCGGGACCTGCCGGGACCCCCCCGTGCCGGGGTGGCTCCGGGACGGCTCCGGGACACTCATCTCGAGGCGTGCCCGAGAACTTCAGGGTGCGGATCACCGTCCCCTCCGCGCTCCGCGGCTGCCGGGACCGGCCGGAGGCGGCACGGAGCGGGACGGCAGCGGAGGGGGGCTCCGGAGCAACCCGGCGGGATCTGCCGCGCCCCTCCCCGGGGGCATACAACACCTCTGTCCAGGGATACCGCAACCTGCCCCGGTCAGCCCGCATCCCTACGCGGGAGAGATCCTGCACCCTGGTCGAGGTTTGCCGCTACCCCCACTGGCATCCTCCCTCCCCTCCGCTGCGACGCAGGAGGGAACTTGTGCGAGGAACGACGCGGGACCACGCTCGTACCTGTGTGTCCGCGGGGGCCACCGCTGTCCCGCCCTAGCGCGGAGGTGCGCTGAGAGTCCAGCCCGAGTGTGGTGGCAGCCGGCATGGCTCCGCCGAGCGCTGCCGAGTCCCGCCGCGCCGAGCCGCCCAGCAGGTGCACCGCACCCGCAGCCGCACCCGCCCGCCCTCCGGGGCCGGGCCGGGGGGAGCAGCGCGGCACGGCCCATCCCGCGGAGCCCCGCCGGGCGGGGCAGGAGGGGCAGCGGAGCGAGAGGAGGGGCCACTCGGGGCCGGCGCAGCCGAGCCTCGGTGCCCGGGAGAGCGCCGTGCCCTGACAGCCCCGGGCTTTGGCCTGGCCCTTCCCCGGCCCGCGCCGCTCCCCACGAGCGGCCGGGCGGGGATGGTGCAGCGGCCGCGACGCCAGGCAGACTGCCTGCCCCTCGCTGCCCGCCCTGCCGAACCTGTCTGCTGCCTGCCCTGATTCCTGCCTGCCACCCACCCGCTGCCTGTCCTCCTCTGCTGCCTACCATCAGTTCCCGATGCAGCCAGGCTGGTGCTCACAGCCTGCAGAGCCTCAGATACCCCAGTCTGGTTCTCATGGGTCTGGTCTTGCAAACACAGTATACTGCTCTTTATGTGGTTGTATTCCAGGAGCAGAATCTCTCACATACATCCAGTTTATGGTCTGCAAAGTTGTGTTTGTTTTCACTGGGATCTGCAACTAAACCCACTGGATGGTTCCCAGATCCATCATCCTGTCTGGGGCTGGGTGGCACACACAAACATGCGCAGGCTACTTGGTGAAACCCAAGTGCCTTGCACATGCTGTGTGTGTCATTTTGTGCCTGTCACATCCTGGACATGTCACCCCCTGCCACTTACTGCCCTTGCAGCATTACCACCGTGAGTCTGGGTCTCAGCAGTGTTCGTTGAGATCCTTGATTTGCTGACACTGGCAGTGGATCCAAAAAAGGCCTTTAATGGTCTGCACTGTGTGTCCACAGAAAACAAGAGGAGGAACCACTGATTCTGTTGAAGAAGCTCTGTGTGTTGGTGCTGAGCCTGTAGTCTAGGGCACACACCAAGCACTGGTGCTGTTAACACTCTCTCCACTTGTTATACCCTCTCGTTATTTTTTTTCACCTGGAAGTAGAAAGAAAAAATAGTCTGCAGGAGCAGATTAGAGAGAGATTAAATTCCAAGGTGCACCAAACCCAAATAGACTGAAAAACTTCTTAAGGCTCTTCTGGAAACATCAAATGGAGCAGGATCATGCCCACATGAGATGGTGACACCGCTCAGTGTGCTGCTGGCCACAGCACTCTTTCCTATGAGCTTATCTGTCAGGGAGGCCTCAGGAATATTGCAGATAGAAGGGGCTGCTATTTCCATCTCTACTACTAAATCATATTCAAAAAGCAATGCTTGGTCATGTTATAGCAAAACCCCAGCACTTTTGAAAATGCTGCAGCTTATGAATTAGGTTTGTATTTCCGGTAATGCTAAATACTAATCAATCTAATTAAAGTCAACAAGAAACTGTAGCTCTTCCAGTCAAGTCCAGTGAAACCAGAGGAATACCAAAGACAGAGAAGTAGTTTTTTCTGTAAGCCACTACCCCTGCAGCTGCTGTTACACAATTCAAGTTGAACATTGTGGGAATCTGTAGGATTAGAGGATTTTAGGAAAGTTGGGAAAAAGTAAGGGAAAAAGTAATTTGCAAGTCAAATCTTTCCTTACAGGCACTCACAGAAGCAAATTAAGCAGCAGCACCTGAATTCCACTCACCTCATGGCAGCATTCAGATTTGCTTTGTAAGGGAATGTATAACCCAACAGCACTGGTTTTGCTCCACATGTCCTGGAACACCACAGGCAGCCCTGTGGTGTGATACCCCAGAACAGCACTCACCTCCCTAGCTGCAGGTGAGTGCTTTCATAATTTTTAATGCCTCTGGTTTTATCTTCAGTATCAGGGGAAGCCATGCAGCCTCAGCCACACACTTGCTGCTTTTTCTTAGGAATTATTTAACTGTTGGATTTCACTAAATTGCCCTAAGACATTTCCTTTCTTTAAGTCCTAGTTATTAGAGCTGACCCCAGGCATGCCAAGGGCACAAGACTACTGAAGTGACAGTCCCCAGCAAAGCTGCCTGGATGGCTGCAGGTGCCAGGCAAGGACTACCTGCCCCTCGCTGCCCACCCAAACAGGGACAGGCTCCCGGATCCCATCCTGGTGATGGCAGCTTTCTAGCCTCCAGCAGCAGCAAACTGATCCCGTCTACTCTCCTGGCTGGCCCTGCTGCCACCCCCTTCTTCCGCGAGCCTCAGGAGCTGAGGCTGGCTCAGCTGAGCATCAGCCCTTCAGACCCAGGCAGTGACTCTTGGGTTTGCCTACACTCAGAGCCCTGGGCAGACCCCATTGCTTGTTCTGTGACTCTTGAAAAGGAGAATAGTAGCTCTCAGCCTCAGCTTCTGTTTAATCAGATCACACAGGTGTGATAGCTAAAAGCTCAGCAATTGATTAGAGTTGAATTGAATAGATTGCTGAAAGAAAAATGTGACCTTTAGAATTGACATGAAGTGATGTGTTGGGTTGTCAGATCTGTTGCTGTTACTGGGTCAGTGGTGTGCTGCTGGCTCAGGGAGATGGCTTCATTCTGCCCCCTGACTTTTCCTCTTCCTCCTCTCCCAGATATAGGTTTCACTCACAGTATCACTGGATTAACTAGGTTGGAAATAAAGTTTGAGATCACCTAGTCCAATCTATAACCTAACACCACCTTGTCAACCAGACCATGGCACCGAGTGGCACATCCAGTCTTTTCTTAAACATCTCCAGGGACAGTGACTCCACCCCCTTCCTGGACGGCCCTTTCCACTGCCAAACCATTCCTTCTGTGAAGAATCTTTTCCTTATGTTAAGCCTAAACTTCCCCTGGTGCAGCTTAAGGCTGTGTCCTCTTATCCTCATGTTGATTGCCTGGGAGAAGAGCCCAGCCCCCAGCTGGCTGCACCCTCCTGTCAGGAAGTTGTAGAGAGTGATGAGGTCTGCCCTGAGGCTCCTCTTCTCCAGCTCTCTCAACTGCTCCTCACAGGACTTGTGTTCCAGACCCCTCACCAGCCTTGTTGCCCTTCACTGGACATGCTCCAGCCCCTCCATGTCCTTCCTAAAATGGGGGGCCCAGAACTGGACTCGGCGCTCAAGGCAGGGAGTGGAACAAAATGGGCTTTAAGGTTACTGCCAACCCAAACCATTCTGTGATTTATGATAGATGTGGGAACAAAGTGTGGTTTCTCTCAGCAGGGAGCAGTGATGTTCCCCGGTGTGGAAGAAACCAGCCTGGTCCTGTACCAGGGAATACTCCATGCAGGGACCTGGAGAGTCCTTTCTGCCAAGGACACGCTGTATGCCCACACCCAGCTCCATTTTGGCTCTTCCAGTGACTCCCCTGGGCTATTAGTGGCACAGAGCTCTGCCACACTCATGAAAAGATGGCTCATGGCTGATAACATGTGATCTGCTTGCCTGCTGCAAACTCCAGTGTGTTTTCCTTGTTTCTAGTAGGTGTTAGGGACATGGTGGATTCAGCCTGGGGCCACAGCTCAGGAACTATTTTCCTGTATTACCATTAAGTGCAGTCCAGTGCCACAGTATAGAAAAACACAGCAGCACACAGGTACATATATCCCATCAGAGCCTGAAAATGCTAAACTAATTCGAGGAGGAGGGAACTTTTTTGTTCCTTCTTTTATAGAAATGAATAAATACAGAATAAATAAAGACAGGCCAAGTGGCATCAATACACATTCTGTTCGTCAGTAGCTTGGAAAAACAAACACTCTGAGAACAACCGTTTGTGTCTTCAATCCAAGATAAAATGTTGCTGTGAACACTCACAAAAACTAACTCCTCCAGCATTGTTTGGGGCTAATCAGCACGATTCCAGTTAAGCTGATATGGCCTTGCAAATTCAATAAATGGATGTCCTTCTCCTAATATCTACTTTTTACAAATATCAGGATATTCGTTCTATACCTGGTTATTCTTTACCAGAGATGAGCTTTTTATTTTATAAGCCTCAATTAAACATAGAAACAGAATGGTTAGGGGACCTTGAAGTCGATCCAGTTCCACCCCCTGCAATGGCCAGGGATACCTTCCACTAGCCCAGGCTGCTCCAAGACTCATCCAACCTGGCCTTGGACACTCCCAGGAATGGGGCAGCCACAGCTTCTCTGGGCAGCCAGTGCCAGGGCTTCACCACCCTTCTAGTAAAGAATTTATTCCTAATATCCAGTCTAACACTGCCCTCCTTCAGTTTACAGTTGTTTCCCTTTGTCCTATCACTCTATGCCCTTGTGAATATCAAGTAAATTCCCCTCATTTCAGAGAAACACCACTCACTTGGTGGAACCTGCCCAGAACCTGTCCTGAACCATGGCGCTGCGGTAAGGTTTGTGAATTTGGCACACGTGATCAAATCCTGGGGAATCTGATGTGCATAACTCAGAAGAGGATTGAGCCCATGTGACACCAGCAACGGCTTTAGACCCTTGCATGAGATGCATATTAGATGTGCTTTTATCCCTTCAAAACAGCAACAGAAAGCAATCTCTAAGGAGCACAGTAAAGCATCAGTGTGCTGTTCCTGAGTGACAATTTCATTACAGACTTACAGAAATGCAGTATTATCCTAAACCTAGTGCATACTTCAAAATCAGGGAAGAATTGCTAACATGCCACAAATTTGACACAAAGTTGATATCTCTGGCAAAAAAAAAAAAAAAAAACAAAAAAAACAAAAAAAACAAAACACCCAAAAAGCCCCCAGCTATTGGAATAATACTGTAGTGTCAGGTTTTCTCTGTGCTAGGAGAAATGGTGGGAAATTCACTGTAGAGGGAGAACATTATCTATTTGTAAGCCAAAACCACTGAAAACCTGCTGGGCCTTGTCTTCAAATGTGGAGTGGACATCCTGCTCAAGTTTCCTGTGCATCTAGGGACAGCAAAAGCTGTGCTGTAAATCGCTGATTATCTCAGTCTTGGCAGGAAGCAGAAATGCTTAAAGATCAAACAAAGCTATATGGTCGGATCCTCAGCTAATTTAACAGTGAGATGTAACTAAATCCATCCATTTGTACCAGCCAAGGAGCTGCCCAGTGTCCATTCTAGCAAATAAAGATTTATTTTATTTTATGGTGGATGTTTAGTGCTTTTCACAGCTCTGCATTTCCCCTGTGCAGTTTCAAATGGATTGTTACAATTTTATTAAGTAATTTTTATTTTAAGCTTTTGCACTTTTCAATTCACATAATGGATTTGTCACAGTCTCTAAGTGGTGCATTCAAATATAACTGCAGATGCTTTGCAACATTGTCAGTTTGCTCATTTAGCAAAGGGCAGTGACTGAAGGATATGTGTGTCCAGCATCAACTTCAAAACAGACTGAGCTGATATTGGTTAATATTTCTTCTTCCAGCTGGCTTAAGGGACTGAGCAAGGGAAATATTGCCCACCAGCAAAGCCCTGGCACATCACTATTGCTCAAGACAGTCAAAATGGCACAAGATGCTGAAAAGGGAAAATATTAAAGTATTCTTTGCCCCAGATATAATATAAACAGTCTGGGACAGAAATGTGAGAAAAAAAATTCCCTGCCCCAGCATCTGCCCTTGACCCACCTCATGTCCTATGTGGTCAAAGAAAGGAGACTCAAGGAGGGGAAACAAATGTGATCAGAGCTACCCAGCAAGGAACAAAGAAACAGACTCTTTAGCTGCAGAAAGAGACACCTGGGAAGACCCAGGAGAGTTCTGTGCAACTTCAGGGTCCTGAGGAAGTTTACAGGGAAGCTGTTCAGTGCTGCTTCCCAGGCCAGACCTGGAAGGTGCCAGCACTACAGCTTCAAAAAAGGGAAAAAACTTTCTAGCCAAGGTGGGGTTTAGGTACAGAACTCTTTGACACAGGATATTGTGGATATTAAAAAAAAAAAAGAAAAAAGAAAAAAAAAGAATTTACAGCGAAAAATATCATCGGCTAAGTTCTAGGTCAAAAATCCTCTAAGGGATTATTAAAGGCCAGGTACCATCTCTAGCTTGGGATATCTTTGAGTGTTGGGCAGCTGGCAGTCACACATCCATACATGTTCCTTCACATCTGCCATGGCCATGGCTGGAGACAGGTTCCTCACCTGGCTATGCTGTATGTTCTGGGAGGGTACAGAACCCAAAGCCACAAGCCTCATCTCCACATCACTGTTGGAGAAGGGAGACAGACATAACACACAGTGCCAGTGTGCTCCAGCACAGTGATTACTTTGTTCCGTCTCTGAAGATGCTTATAATGGACATAAAAACATATCCCTCATTTTCACTGCTCTGCTGTATTTTATCTCTCTGAGCAGTTCCAGCATGAAACAAGAAACTCACAGGTTTGTCATCTTTTTCTCTCAAGCAGCTGTGAGCATCTGTCTGTGACAAGGAATTTCATGAAAACAGAAAAAAGATCTGGGATTCACATTCCCTTGCCCGCATCACCTTTAGAAGCAGTTTTACATACATGTATATGATCGTGCTCACCTCGTCGGGACTCATGGGGTTCAGATTCAAGAAATAAATTAATTCTTCCTGGTGAGGGTGGTGCGGCCTGGGCACAGGATGCCCAGAGAAGCTGTGGCTGCCCCATCCTCGGAGAGTCCAAGGCCAGGTTGGGGCTTGGAGCACCCTGGGATAGTAGAAGATGTCCCTGCCTATGGTAGGAGGTGGAACAAGATGATCTTAAAGTCCTTTCCAATCCAAACGATACTGTGATTGTATGATTTAGCAAAAATCCTTATTTGATCATAACCAGGCATTGATATGGTGGCACTAGTTCTCTTAAACCCTCAGTCAATGAACCCTGTGTAACCAATCACAGCCAACAGAGGCTGGAAAATGAGTAAACCAAATGAGCACACTGAAATCTAGCCTTTTTATAAGAGATTAAGGTGAATAATAAATAGTCCATCTGAATGGATCAGTCCCACTTGCTGCTGTGCAAAGCTGGCCCAGATTCCCTGGTGCTGATGGTCCGCAGCAGACACGGCAGGTAAGGACCATCCCTTTCACAGTTTTCCTGTTTCTCAGTAGATTTGTCCATGCCGACTTTGCCCCTGATGGACCCTGGAGACAATACCCCTGATCCTTGAGATACTCATGAGCAATTTGGGGCCAGAGATATTAAAAGGTCACACATCATTTAGCAAAAACACAGCTTCCTTTTTCATCATTTTGAATGGAGACACTGATTTCAAATAAAGCCTCTTAATGGACTGGTTTGATTTTGTGTAGTCTTGGTGTGAGTCTTGTCCAAGCTCAAAGATGACAGCAGTAGAGCTCAGGTATTACTTGTACGATACCAAAGGCTTAAATGTAGGTGGAGATGAGATGATGTAGGTGGATCAACTGGATCCAGATAATTTCTGGAATGCTGTGTCTCTCCGAGTCGTAGTTTAATGTTGTTCTTCATCCTGATCACCTCACTTTCTCACCACCTGCAAAATCAGCCACCCACCAACATGCATCCCACCTCTAGGAAGGAAATAAATAATTGGAGACTGGCCCCATCCGTCTGCTCTGTCACTGTCTTTTTCCCTTGCCAGTTCTTTGTCAACTCTTCTTTCTGAAGGCATAACACCACACTTTAATAGGAAAATTAATAAATAAACACTCAGAATGAAAAATTTGTGGGGTTGAAATGAAATACAGCTAATTGATTTGTTAATGAAATTTTCCTGAAGCAAATCCAGGGTTGTTCAAACCCTTAATCTGTGATTGTCAATTTACAGAAAAAAATACAGAAAAACATGGCAGACAGCAGTTTAATTCAGGCAAGAGATGGTGGGCACCTTGGAGAAACACAACAGCTCCTGGAGAAGCAAAGGAAAGGTTTATCCGGCTGTTGACAGGAAGGACCAAGCAAGCTCTCTCATGATTTGTGAGGTTCAGCTCCCAAACACAGCAAAACTTTGGCATCCTGCAGTGCCTGAGAGCCCAGAGCACCAGAGCTTGGTTTAATTCTGCCCCAGCCATGCTCAGAGAAGGAATGTTATGTCTGTGAGGCAGGGAGGGTCTGGTGCCTTGACCTGACAGGCAGAGTCAGAAAGACCTGGTGGGTTTTACTTCATGGCTGCAAGAAGCAAAGTGGAGAAGATTTGTTGGTGCAGCTCCACAGGCCACATCCCTCATGCACAGGGAATGTTCTTGGCTTATCATGATATTTGGGCATCTTTTGTGAAATATGCTGATGTCAGGACACCGTAGCTATGGGTATTGTACTTTTCATCCCCACTTCATCAAAATTCAGTCCCCTGGTTGAACTTAACTGCTGCTGCCACATCTAAATTTTTTCTCTGGTCTTATCATGGCCAGCATATATAATTCAGCTCTATGCAGAGCTAGAAAGGGGCTAATAGTGGCTTAAATCTTATTTATGCACTAATACAAAGGCATATGTAGTATTTATGGGATGCTTAATCCCTGTGCTAACCCTCTGCACAGAAGCAGGCTGAGCTCAGAAAAACTTTCCTTTTATGACAAAGGAAAGTCTAAAGCTTGCAGCTTTTATGACAAATAGTGTCAGCAACACCTATTTCTTCAGCTTTAGAAGCTCCTACTTCCTTCCAAAGGAGAGAAGATGAGGAAGGAGAATGAAACAAAGGTCCTAACACTCCAGCCTTTGATCTGGACGAGATTAGATCCTGCTGTAAATTCAGGACAAGCCTTCAGAGATGTGTGGTGATTTCTCAGACCATTTGATTATGATTTCACAGCAGCACTGTATTTTGGGACCTTGTGCTGGTCAGTCAACGCCGACCAAGAGAGACTCTCCTACACCAGCATTCTGTAGCCTGGGGCTGTTCTCTGAGCGTGCTTTGCTCTTGCATTACAGCATGTTGGTTTGTTAATGTGTCCACTAAGCACAATTCCCTTGATTTGCTTAAAATCATAGAATGAGAGAATGTTAACACATTGTAAACAAGCAAACAAGCAAAACCCCCACCTCCAAACCAGAAATGTTACTAAATGAGTAAATTTTCAAGGCAAGCACTCTACATTACATTTTCAAGGAAGCTTGGGAGAAGAAATAACACACACTGGAAAGAATTCCTTTTCATGGTAAAAACAATCTTTTCTGTGTAGAGTGTTGGGAGAGGGTGAGTAGGAAAGAAAGAAGCAAGTCTCAAGACAATTTCCCAGTAGATAATCAAATACAGGCCCTCTAATTTTTTAACATCATGGACTTCAGATATGTGATTTATTCACCAGTGTAAAAAATAAGCCAAACCCCAAACAAGGATAATTCCCTTTCTGTAGGTCCAAAAAAATACTCACTGATGCAGATCACTAATTTTCACCAATCCTAAAAAACTCTGTCTGTGTGGAGCATTTCTTCCTCTCTATCAATATCAGAAAATGTAGAAGGCTGAAGAGGAAACAAAAGTTAAACCAAACCATTTAAAAATACAGTACTGTGACAGATTTTATTTAATTTTGATCGATACTACATGCTTACTACGACTAGGAACAGACATGCCTTTTTTAGACTTGTTTGTTTTAGACTTTTATAATTTTTTTTAACCTATATTAAATGTTGACCTAAACTTTGCTGTGCCTTGGAAATCTGGCTCAGGAGTTAACTGCAGGAATTTTTATTTAAATAGATAAGCACTTATGTTTGAAAATAAGACAAAAACAGGTGAACAGGGAAATTAAATAACAAATTCAGTTCATACAAATATCTCTTACACTATGTACTAAATCCTGTTAATTAGCTTTAGGTCTTTTCAAAATTCTTAAAATACTTATGAAACATTATTTACAAATTATATAAATAAAATTTAGGCCACTTAAGTTAACCAATACAACAAAAAAGTCACCTTTTTGTATGGTATGTACTAAAAATGTTCTTGTTTATTGATCATAACCCAGTTTGCAGTATAAAATGTTTGTTCACTTACATCAAAATGGGTTCCAATAGAAGGAAGGAAGGTATTGTTTCCAGAAGAAAGCAATCAGTATAATAAATGCTTAAAATCAATGAGACTTCTTAATGTTCTGTTCTGCACCATTTGCAGTCATTTTTAAAAGTCCCTTCTACAGTATTTGTCATTTGAACAGCTCATCTCAAAACAGCAGAGACATGGTTTTAGTAACAGGAAAATACTCAGTACATTGCTCACATATCACAAAGACCTTACCAGGAGGGCGAGGCAGAGAATGGAATGTCAGTGGCCAGCACAAGCCTTTACAACATTTAACTTAAAAGGCAGTATTTATAGAACTAATCACAGACTATACACATCCTGCACTCATCAACAGCAATCAAAAGGACTGGAAAATATACATTTAGGAAAACAAGACTGATGATTTTCCATTACTTCTGTTAAAATTAATGCTTTGCTCCTTGTCTTTTGTTTTAAAACCAGCACTGACACCACCAACAACTACAACTACTTTTTTCTTTAACATAATATATGGCAGGTAACTACTGTACTTGAAAAATGTACAATAAAAGGTGAAAACCCACTGAACTTCCTATTCAAACACATGAAAATATAAAGCCATATAGATTCCAAAGTGCCATGAATATCAAATTCAAGTGATGGTTTATAGCATGTAGGAAAGAAACGAAATGAATCTTGCTCTATGGGTTGCTGAGCCCTTCAGCTGTATCCTCAGTCTCCCCTTTGGCAGCTTTGGTGAGAATTTCCATCCATTTAATCTGCAGCTCTTCATCTTCTGCACTGAAATAGAGAGTTTGATGGGACTGGCAAAGCTTAAAAACGTGCTTCACATCAAACTTCTCACCAGAACCTGGTAAACTGACTTCATAGCCAGGCAGAGGGATTGGACGTGGGCTTCGTCCATCCTAAAGGAGAGAAAACAAATGTAAGGATTTAGGACCGAGTGCAGTTTGAGGCGGGAGGCGGGGTACACTGCATGGAGCCGACAGGCACACACCGCAGGAAGCACACGGACGCAGTCCCAGGCTCCTTGTTCAGCGCTGCAACGAAGGAAGCGGGGACAAGGCAGTACTGACTGCAAACCAGCAAAAAAGCAATGACTTAGTGGTGCTTTGTTCTTATTTCACTGATTTCCTTTCACAGTAAATATGGCCAGGGATTTTCATATAATGTCATGTAACTCATGTCTGTGTCTTTTACAAAATTTCCTCTGCATTATATACAGGCAATGGGAGCCAGCTTAGAAGAGTTTGATGTTGTCCCTTTTGAACATCATGGGATATTTTGTAGGATTGGTTAAAAGGAAGTAATTAAGAAAAGCTGGACCCTGAGAGATACCAAGGCAACTAAAGGGCAAAGGAAGAGTCTTTGAAAGAAAAGACAATTTTTGATTTTCAGTAATTTATGATGCCTTTGAGAGATGTCAAGAAAGCCAATGCTCAAATTCTTGACCATCCTTTCAAAGCCAGATTGAATCACAGATCTAAGGAGCAGTATAGCTCTCTAACAGTCACATCTTGAGCATCAACCAACTCCTCCCCTAAGCTCTCAAGAAAGATATATTTTAGCAAGGCAAGGTGTGCCATGGCCAAGCAACCTCTTCAACTGCTCCCAGCAAAGTGTTTCTAAAGATGAGTCCCCAAACTGAAGTTTGAATCACACAGGCATCAAGCATCTGTACAAAGCTGTCACCTGTAGGAGCTGCTTGTGTTGCAGCCCCATACCAAAGCCAACGAAGCATCCCACAGAGAAGTGGCAAAGTCATTCTTTTGTCAGCCCATACCAAATGCAGATGCCTTGGTAAATCTGGAAGAGGACCAAAACTCTGAGAACAATGGCCAAAAAAGATGCCTACTTTTCTCACACTTTGTCTAAAGTAATTCCAATATCAAAACTGCTCACTTCAATGCAGACGCATACATTAACTAAATGGGCAAGCAATACAGTAAAAAATGTATCACCATTTATCAATACAGGCTTCTTGATTTATTCATCTGTTGCTTGTTATTGTCATGCAAAAATGCCAGAGTCCAACTGCTTAAAGACCAAGCACTGTTCAAGAAGATTTAAGGCAGCTTTAGGCCAAACACTTAAGATACACTCAGTTCCCATTTGTGTAACTAATTGTCCTAAA